CCCGGCCCACCCTAAACCCTTCGCCCACCTTCCTACCGACCCTTTTTGTTCCGCCCCCCCCCCCCCCCCCCCCCCTCCCCTCGCCACCCCCACCTCCACACCGCACCCCCCCACCTCTCCACCCCCCTCCCTCCACCCCTCCACCCTCCCCCGTCATGGGTATTCCTGGCCTGCTCCAAGCCCTCCGCGGTGCAAGCACCGAGGTCCATGCCGCCCAGCTCGCCGGACTCACGGTGGGCGTCGATACATACTGCTGGCTGCATCGCGGCGGCTACGGCTGCGCTCGCAGGCTATGCCTCGGCGAGCCGACCGACATGTACGTCCGGTTTGTAGAGTTCCGGGTCGAGATGCTGCGGCATCATGGCGTGACGCCGGTGCTGGTATTTGACGGCGCCTCGCTGCCGTCCAAGGGTGCGACTGACGCCGGCCGCCGCACCCGTCGCGCCGCCATGCGTGCCAAGGGCGAGGCACTGCTCGCCGACGGCAACCACGCCAAGGCCGACTCGTGCTTCCAGAAGGCATTTGAGGTCACCGCCGAGATGGCTGCCGCCGTCATCTCGGCCATGCAGGCACAGGGCGTTGAGTGCATTGTCGCGCCGTACGAGGCCGACGCCCAGCTCGCATGGCTCGCCCGCAACGGCGTCGTCGACGCCGTCATCACCGAAGACTCGGACCTGCTGGTTTACGGCGTCGAGCGCGTCATCTTCAAGATGGACCGCCTCGGCGCCGGTGTCGAGATCAATGCCGCAAACCTGTCGGCCTCGTCGTCTCTCGATCTCCACGGCTGGAGCCACCATCAGTTCATGCACATGTGCATCCTCGCAGGCTGCGACTACTTGCCATCACCCACTAACGTCGGGCTCAAGACCGCGAACCGGCTCGTCAGTCAGTCCAAGTCGCTTCCAGATCTATTTGCTCGTCTCGTCACCTCGCGCACGCTTCCGCTCTCGTACATCACCGACTTTCTCCGGGCCAAGCTCACCTTTCGCCACCAAACTGTTTACGACACCCACGCCCGCTGCGCCGTCCCGCTCGAGCCATTTGACGTCGCCGAGCTGTCCGATCTGCCGTCATCAGCGCCGCCCATCCCGCTTCCGATCTCTACCTTTGTCGGGCCAATGCCGACCCAGCACGTGGCTCGCGCCATTGCCGCCGGCCTCCTCCACCCGGACACCCATGCCCCGCTGGTTCCGGCGCCGACCTCGCCCGCCGGCAGTGCTGCGCTCTTGCGCCCAGGCAAGCGCAAGCGCCCATCATCGGCGTCGGCCGGCCCGGCGCCCAACCCCGCCCCGTGGTCTCTCGCTCCGCGTCCGGCATCGACGCCGCTAGTCATCCGTGTCCCGTCATACTCGCGCTCCGGCTCGCTCGCCTCGCCGTCGGCCTCGTCGTCACCACTCGGCGCCCGCCCAGCTAACGTCTTTTCGCGCTCGTCTTCGTCAGCCTCACTCGTCCGCGTCCCATCTGGTGTCGCTTCTGCCCCCTTGCCCTCCCCTGCCAACACCGAGGGAACCCGCGGCGGCATCGCCTCGCCGCTCGCCCACACCGCGCTCCCGTTTCGTCCGCTGATCGCCACATCGCAGCGCCCGCTCAAGCGTCCGCGCCCCCTTGCCCGCCCGGCCGCCTCGCCTGCCGCTCACGCCAACCGCACTAGCAGCGATGAAGACGACGACGGCAGTGACAATGACAGCGATGATGAGAGCGGAGACGACGACGACGATGTCCATGACGATGATCATAGTGGTGCCGGCTCGCGTGCCTCGCCTACCGACACCAACGCCGAGAACGCCCGCCCGCAAGCCACCGTCCTCCCGTTTGCACGCACCCTCGCCGCCGGCTCCATCTTTGGCCCGCGGCGCAAGGCCTTCCGATATCCATCAAGTCGCGCGTAGCTTCTAGGTTGCAGGAGTAAATGAGTGAAGCCCGTAGCGGGATCGACCGGCGCGTGCGTGGCCAGGTCAGACCACCTCACCCTCGTCGACTGTGCAACATGGCCGCTGTCATGGAGGCATTCGAAGCACTCACCACGCCGCCCACCCTCTACTACGCAGCAGCTGCGGTGTGCGCCGGCATGCTCTTCCTCGTCCGCTTCCTCCTCGGCTCGCCGTCGGCCTCGTTCTCGATTTCCACGACCTTTTCTGGCCGACGCCCTCGCGAGGTCTTTGACATCCTCACCGACTTTGACCGCGCGCCGCAGCTCATGGAGAACTGCGTCCGCATGCGCAAGGTCTCTGACGGCCCTGTTGGCGTAGGCACCCGTCTGGAGGAGATCCGCAGTGTCAGTGGCGTCGAAGAGACCGTCGAGCTGGTCGTCGCGGCATGGGAGCCGCCGGCCATGTACGCCATCTACGCCGACACCATGGGCATCCGTGTCCAGTACACGTACTCGCTCGAAGATAACGGCTCTGGTGGTACCGTAGTCTCGTGCCTCTGCGAGGTCTCTACTACTGTCTATCTCAAGCGTTCGCTCATCCCGCTCGTCCTCTCCGCTATGCGCAAGGAGGACGGCGACCATCTCGACAAGATCGTCGCTCGTCTCGCCGACCTCGAGCGCAAGACAAAGTGAGCGGCGGCGCGCGCGGGGGCTAGCGACTTCGGCTGTAGCTACGGCAGGCATGTACACATATTGAACTTTTGGCCAGCTACGAGTCATCAGAGGCGGCGGCATCCGCGACGGCGGCGGCAGCCTCCGGTCCACGGTGGACGAGCTCATCGAGGAGGCGGACCCAGGTGTTGCGGACCTTGGTCTGGTGGCTCACCTGGGTCCGGATCTCCATGGTGAGTGCGGCACGAAAGTCGCGGATCCGCTCGCGCTCGACCCGCTTAAACTCCGACTCGAGCATGTCCGAGATGTCGTCAAAGGCGAGCTTGGCCTCATTGGCCGCAGCGCGCGCATGCTCGACAGCAGCCCGCTGCTCCGGCACGCGGTCGCCGTACTTTTCCGGCGCGGCGGCCATGCGGTTGAGCCGTGTCTGTGCTTGCTGATGTGCACGGATGGCCGACTGCCACCCGTTGTACGCCGCTGCCCGCGACGAGAGCGCAACCTTGGCCGCCTCGATCGTCCGCACGTACTCGCGGAGCGCGTCGACAAAGAACACAATCTCGTTGTTGGTCATCTCCTGGTACACCACGCACAGCCGCTCAGTCGAGTACCCAAACCGCATGAGGTCGTCTGACAAGCTACGCGCCGCGGAACTGGCCCCGAGCTCCTGCGCAGCACCGGCGACGACGTCAAAGGCGTCTGCCATCTGACGCCGCCGCTTGACGCAGCTTTCCAGCGCGTGGATGAGCTGGGCCAGCTGGGCCTCGCGCATAGCCAGCAGCGCAGTCTGCTGAGTAAAGACCGAGTCGGCCTCGCCCGGGATGGTCGTCGCCGGCGACACGCCTGACAGCGCCGACAGCGTCCGCCCAAAGCCGCGCATCGCCGCCACTAGATCGGCCTTCTTCGACTTGGTCGATGGCAGCGTGTCCGGATCGGCGAGGAAGCGCGCGAGGACAGACGAGGTCTTGATGTGTGCGTGACGTGTGAGCCGGACGAGGAACCGCTCCAGCTCGCGACGCCGATGCTCGATAAAATCGACGTGGAACCGCCCAAGGGCCACCTTTTCCGGCAGCGGCGGGACGATGATGCCCGGCTGGGTGGCCTGCAGCTGGTCGTGGAGCCAGAGAAAGTCGCGGTACCGCCGGATGACCGAGGTCACGCCGCCCTCGCTGCCCACATGAATCGCCGCCCGTGACTGCACCTTGTAAGAAACAAAGGCGTCGATGCCCGAGCCGTGCTTGACCGGATCTACCACCGCCACCACCATGGTCGCCGCATTGGCCGGCGCGCTCCCCAGCGCCATCGGTCCACCCACTTCCGCCTCGGCCCCGTTCTTCCCGCTCCCGTTGCTACCACCAGCTCCATCGCCTAGCAGCAGCGCATCGGTCAGCGCTGCCGCCGCTGCGATGGAAGCGTCGGCGTCAGGCGCTCCGCCACGCCGGTCGCCGCCGCCGACCCCGTCCTCGCCGTCGCCGTCATCCTCACCACGCCCGGCAGCCCCTCCTGCAGCAGCCCCCACCACCACCTCGGGCCCCGCCGCCGGGCGTGATGAGACAACCACCGCCGGTGCCGCCGTGTCCACCGGCTCGGCAAAGACGGCCGAGGCGTCCAGCGGTGCCGCCGAGTGGGGTGACCGGAGCAAGGAGGAGGAGAGTGCCGCAGAAGCAGTCGGCGTAGGCGCCATGGCCGACATGGCATCGTCGTCGTAGTCCATCCCCGTCTGTGTCTATATGTAGGTGGCTGACTGGCTGGCCTGGCTGGCTGGCTGGGTGGGGTGTATGCTGAGAGGGTGGCGTCGGCGTACGCCGCCGTACGCCCGACGCCAACCTCACGTCACCGCACCGTCTCCCGGCCTCGCTCATGCGCACGCTGCTGCCTGTTATCAAACCGGTCATCTCGCTCATTGTCCCGCCGAAGCATACGCCTGCTCGTTGTCGGATCTGGGCGGCAGATGATGGCGGCGGATGCTGGGCGACTCGTAGCTGTGGGATGTCCGCCGCTTGCGGAGCGGAACCCCGTCGAGCCCGAGATCCGAGTCGACGATGGCGGCGGTGATGTGTGGCGGGACGACCGGGTCGCGATCGTTGCTGGTAAGGACGTTGCCGCCAAGTGCGGTGCGGGCGGCAATGAGCTGTGATGATGGTGCGGCAGAAAGCTGGGCCAGGGCGGCGCGGGCGGCGCAGACGGCGGCAGCAGGTTGAGGAACGGTGGCCGCGAGCATGGGGTCGATGGCCGCGGGCTCGAGGACAAACGACGCCTCCCACTGGCGGAGGACGGTGAGCCAGGCGCGCCGTGGGTGTGGGCCGCCACGGGCGCGTACCACTTGTGGCAGTGCGGGGCCCAGCGCTTGTGCTAGCGCTCGCGCTAGGCGTGCTGAGCCGGATCCGGTTGTCATCACCTCGTCGACGACCGCCGCGGCCTCGGGCCCGGTCGCCGGCCCCAACAGTTGGAGCACGGCGTCGGCGACCACCGCAGGCTGCGCTGCCGCAAGCTCGAGCGCGGTTGCAAGCGCCACTAGCTTGCTGCGGTCGCAGCGGTGCCGCAACGCCGCCGAGAGCGTTTCAGCAAGTTCGGCAGCGGTAGGCGCAGCAGGCGAGGAGGAGGAGGAGGACAACGACGATGACGATGGCGACGATGATGATGATGATGATGATGATGATGACGGGTTCGATAACAGAGCCGAGGACGGCGAGGGCGGCGGTGAGGGCGTAGATGCCGGGGGGGGAGTCGGTGGGGCCGGTTGCGCGGAAGTCGGTGGGGCGGGCATGGGCTTGGTGGATGTCGATGCGGCCGGGAGCGAGAGGCGGGCATGCAGGGCGGCGCGGCGGGCGGAGGCAGCAGCAGCAGCATCAGCGGTGGCCTTGGCAGCAGCATCGGCGGCAGCCTTGGCGCGGGCATCGGCGGTGGCGGCAGCGGCAAAGACGGATGTGCGGCGGCGGCGCGATCGTCCGCGCATGTGGCGGCAGTAGCGGGGGCGGCGGGCGAGAGCAGAGTTTGCATTTACGGGTTGCTCAGGGGAAAACAGAGTTAGAAGACAAAGTACTTGTCATCGGCATGGCCAAGAGTCTTGACGTGCGGGGCGACAGCGTACTTCTCCATGGGCGGCGGACCACAGAAGAGGATGAGGGTCTCGTCCGAAGCCTCGGGCATGTGCTCGCGGAGCATGTCTTCCGAGACAAAGCCGGACGAGTACTGCCAGCCGTCGGTGGGGCGGTCGACGGTGTACCACAGGTGGAACTTCTCCGGGTTGCGGGCAGCCTCCTCCTCGAGCTCCTCGCGGAGGAGGATGTCGTCCTCGGTCTGGTTGGCAAAAAGAAGCCAGACCTCGGTGTTGTCGAGCGGATCCTTGCGCATGGCGCGGATGATCTGCAGCATCGGCGTGATGCCGGTGCCGCCGGCCACCATGCCAACCTTGTTGGCCGTCACCATCTTGGCCGGCTGGCCCATCTTGGCCTGGATGGCAAAGGTGCCACGGCCCTTGTAGTCGAGCTTGCCCTTGGGTCCGCGCACGTCAATGGTGTCGCCGAGCGCCAGCGACTCGAGGTGCTGCGACATCTTGCCGCCCTCGGGGAACTTGGGATGCACGTTGGCAAAGTAGACCTTGATCACAAAGTCGACGTAGCCAACATCGTCGTCCGACGACGTCGGCGTGTACGACCGCGCCACAAGCTTGCCCTCGTCAGAGGTGTACGAGAGCGAGACGTGCTGGCCAATCGGGAGACCCAGCACATCATCCTCGTTCGGGAGACCGAACCGGAACAGCCGCGTGTCGTGCGACAGCTCCACCTTCTTGATCAGCGGCAGCGCGATCTTACGCTACAACACACACACACACACACACACACACACACACACACACACACACACACACACACACACACACGCGCGCGCGCGCGCGTACATACACAGTGGGTATCAGTCCATGCCGCCTTGCAACCCACCCCCACCACCGCCCACGCCCTCCCTACCCCTACCCCTCCTCTTCCCGTACCTTGGGGTCAAGCGCGACACGGCGGCGACGGCGCATGCGGCCGAGGAAGTAGACGGCAGCCGTGAGGAGAACACTGGCGCCGATGCAGAGGCCCATGTTGGCCTGGTCTCCCCCCAAACGCGCCACGGCGGGGAGGGAGCGGGCGAACACCGCCAGACGCAAGCCACGACCATACGCCATGCGCATAAACACACAAACACACACACATACACACAAACACACACACGCACACGCACATGTGTAAGTGTCTGACACACACTCTCCTCCCTCCCCCTCCCTCCCCCCCCCCCCCCCCCCCCTTCCCCTTCCCCCCCTGCTTCCTTCGGTTGCGCGCGCCAAGAAACCTCACCGCAGTGGATCCCACACGCCCGAGCCAGGCCAAGTCAGCCCAGCCAAGCCAGCCACCACGCCCTTGCCCACCCCCTTCCTCTGCCACCACACAAGCACACACACTCCCATCTTTTCCCTCCTCCGTCCGCCTCCCCGACTATCCACCCTCTGCCACTCCCTGCCACCTACCTTGACAAAGTCGTTGAGCGGCATGGTTGCGCAGTTGAGTGGTACTTTTTCCCGCCCCTCCTTCCTCCAAACGCAACATCGTCTCCTCGCCTGGGCCAGCCGGGCCGGGCCGATGATGGGCATCGCACAGGAAGTTGTGCTTGGGGATAATTATCACAAATCATCAAGTGCGTACAAGCAAGCGCACAAACACACACAGACACACACACACACTCTCTCTCTCTCCTGCATCGTCAGGCTGTAAGAGTCAGAGCAGATTGCGCTCGCGGAGCGCATCGACGCGCGGCCGCATGACCGCAAACCACAGCGGCGGGACGAGGGCGAGAAGCATCATGCCGGCGTATCCGGTGGGCATTTGCGGAGCCTCATAGTCGTCGTAAGAGTGGAGTATCTGGTAGCGATCGCCAGCCTTGGCGTGGTGGTGCGAGTGCCGCTGGAGATTGAGGAGGAAGAGGTCAGTGATGCACGCGGTCGAGTTCCACGAGTGAATGGGGGTGACCGGCTCGAACTCACCCTCGTACTTGTCCGACGGCTTGCGGGCAAGACCAAAATGCTCGATGTAATTGACGATTTCGAGGAGGAGGATGGCGACGGCCGACTGCCCGAAAAACATGCCGAGGCCGAGAGCGCCAAAGATGGCCCAGGCGCAGGCGGCCATGCCAGCCGAGACGGCCAGGAGCGAGTAGACCTCGTTCGAGAGCGACAGAACCGGAACGCCGGCTTTGACGCACCGCGCTGCCGCGATGTGGCATGCCGAGCGGAACGAGCCGACGAGCGTGCGCGGAAGAAAGGCGTAGAGCGACTCAGAGTAGCGCGCCGACGCCGGGTCGTGCGGCGTGGAGACGTGCCGGTGATGGCCGTACAGGTGCTCGACGTAGAACGAGCCGTAGCAGACCGAGGCGAGAAGGATGCGGCCAAGTCCCTTCTCGAGCTTGGTCGGCTTGTGGATGAGCTCGTGCGCAAAGTTGATGCCGAGGCCGCCGGTCGAGATCCCGATCGACGCCGTGAGGAGCGCAAGCTGTGAGCGGGAGAGGCCCCACGCCGAGGCCACGTACATGCCCCACACAATGTGTGCGAGCTGGAGCGGGACCCAGATCCAGGTGATGTACCGGAACGAGCGCATGCTGCGGAGCTGATTCTCCTCCTCGCGGGTGAGGTCAAAGTGGTTCTTGGGCGAGACAAGCTCCAGCGCCGGAATGACACCAAAGACTTGCAGGACGACCATGTGGTAGCATCCCAGGTGCGCAAAGTACATGGTTACGAGCGGGACAGTAAAGGCGAGCGTGTAGGGGTAGGCGTATGCCGGATCGTAGGTGAAGAGCGAGGCTGAGACCCAGGTGATGAGGACGGCCCGGAAGACGCTGCGTGGGATGAAGGCCTCGAGCAGGCTCGCCTCATCCGACGTCGGCGCCAGCGCGTCCGTCACCACTGTCAGCGCCAGAAAGGTGGCCACAATCACCGTCCGATGCACCATCGGGTGCTGTGAGCCCCAGAACCCGCGGCGCAATGCCGTCCTGGCCGCCAAGCCCGCCTGCTTGGTCTCGGCCGCCGCCGACGACGACCCGTTGGCGGACGGGGCCGACGGCGACGACGCGGGACGTCGCCGGTAAACGATGGGAGACTCGGGCATGGAAGCTACACGATTAGGTGGAGTGGTGGGGGGGGGGGGAGGGGGGGGGGAGGGGGAGGGCTGGGTGTGCGAGTGGTGAGGGTGTGCCGCAGGTTGTTCGTTCGCAGAGGTGGTGGTGGAGCCGTGTGGCAGGCAGGCGTGTATGTTCATTACTGCATGGTTGACGACGGACGAGCATGGGCAGGACGGGCGTCAGCCAGCTGGGAGAGGTTGACCGAGGCGGTGCGGCGGCGACGGCGAGCGCGGGCCTGCTGGGCTGTGATGGAGCGCAAAAAGTCGAGGGCGACGTCAAGCTTGCCGTGGAGCGAGGCGACGAGGGTCTCGAGCGACTCGACGCGGGTACCCAGTTCGTCGCGGTCATCGTCGGCGGCTGCGAGAGCGCGGAGGCGCATGGCGGTGTGCGCGGATGGCGGCGGGAGGTCCGAGTCGTCGGCGGCGCCGTCTGTGGCGAGGTCCTGACAGATGGCCGAGTAGCGGGCACGCTCCTCCTCGAGGCGGGCCATGATGGCAGCCTGCTCTTCCAGATCGAGCTGACCGTCCTGGTCGGCGTCGTACATTGCGAAGAGGTCGTCGACGTTGTCGACGCCGAGGTACTGGGCCATGTCCTGCTGCTGAGCGAGGAGGGCCTGGGCCTCGGACCGGTCGATCTTGTCGTCGTTGTTGGTGTCTGCGGCGAGGACGCCACGCTGGGCGCGCTCGATCTCCTTCTGCTTGCGGAGCGCCTCGCGCCAGGACTTGACCTTAGCCGGCATGTGGCCAGCGGCGTAGTCCTTGAGCGAGGTCATCCACAGGGCGTGCGGGTTGGGCCGGTTCTCGTACTTGTCCTGCACGCGGCCGTAGGCGTCGTCGATGACGGAAATGTAGACCGACATGAGGATAAAGACAAAGAGGATGACAAAGGCGAGGTAGAAGATCGGGCCCATGAGCCGGTTGTTGGCCCACAGCGACTCAAAGTCGAGCTCGCCGAGCAGGCCGCGGACCATGGTGAGGAGCGAAAAGGTGAAGGTGCGGTAGCTGTCGACGTCGGTGCCAAACGACTGGTTGCCGAAAAAGGCAAAGCCGAGGAGGAGGAACATGACCATGACGGTGAGGGCGGCGATGCCGAGGACCGCCCGCTTGATGGTCTTGGTGATGATGAGGGCCGATTTTGAGAACCGAGCATACTTGAGAACCTTGAAGAAGAGGAGAAAACCGTTGAGCGAGAGGATGTTGAACTCGGCCGACGAGAGGGTGACCAGGTTGGTAAAGTTGTAGTACCGCAAGCTGCCCTCAAAGTTGGTCAGCTGGAGCTTGTTGAACTCGACAGTGATGATGATGCGGAAGACAAAGAGAGTGATGAAGAGGAGCAGGTTGACAATGTCGAAAAAGTTCCATCCGTCCGAGAGGTACCCGATGCCCTTTTGCTTCATCTCAAACAGCTCTTGCAACACATAAAAGAGGACAAATGCCGCAACAGTGAGCTCGAGGAAGATCTGGAACCGGCCAGAGGCCGTCGGCGGGTAGCGGTAGAAGCGAATGACCCGGAAGACTGACGACGGTACGACGCCACCCGACGGAAGAAACTCAAACACCATCTGACCGACAAAGAACATGTTGATGTTGGCGTTGTACGTCGAAAAGTCGACGACAACCACCCGGGTCTGCACATCGAGCCAGTTGTTGGTCTGCAGAAACGCCATCTTGCTCGCGTCGCTGCTCGTCCCGTTAAAGTACTCGACAAAGCCGCCACCGTCGTACCGGGTGATCCGGCCAAGCACCTCAAAGCCGCCGACCTCGCTCTCGGAGGCGTACCGGAATGGTGCCGTGCCGGCCGAGAACGTCTCGCGGCTCTCGTACTGCTCCTTGTACGGCGCAAGGCAGCCTTGCACGGCAAACGACGACTTGAAGGCGCCGAGCAGCGGGCACTTGCCCGGCTTAACTCGCAGCTGTCGCAGTCGCGCCATGCCGATGAGCCTGTTGACGCCGTAAATGTACCCGTCGGGCCCGTTGGACCCGTTGTCGGCCAGCCCGGCCAGGAATGGCCCATTGAGGTACTGCCACACCTCCTCGATGGTGGCGCAGTCGTAGAAGTTCTTGAGGATGTGCGACGACGAGACCGGAAACTCCTCTTCCAGGAACAGATCCTTCATCAGCGCGTTGTAGTGGTACGAGTACGTGGAGTTCCGCGCGCCGTACGCCATGAGGCAGAACGCCACCAAGAACAGGATGTAGAGCACAACCTCCAGCGAGGCCATCACCACGTCCCGCGCCCGCAGAACGTACCCGGTCACCTGCTGCGTCCGCGTCTGTCCGCCCTCCACGTCGTTGCTCTTGCTTGCTTCCCCAGCCTCATCTCGGGCACCGGCCCCGTGCTCACCGCCACCACCGTTCACAGGTTCCAGCGGAATGGCAACCTCGTTGGCGATGGGCGGCAGCTCCTCAGGCTCGTCGAGGCGAATAGTCTCTCCGCTCTTGGTCGCCGGCTTGGTTCCTCCATTCGCCGACGACGCTGACGCTGTCGAAGACGACGATGACGACATGTTGCTGCTGGGGTGTTCTTGCTTCGCCGACCTGCAGTCTTGTGTGGGGAGGGAGGGAGGGGGTAGGGGGTGGGGGTGGTGGGGGTGGGGTGTGTATGTGTATGTGGGTGTGCGAGTTGCGGAGGGTGACGGGGGGTGGCTGGCTGTCGCCATGAATAAGAATTGTTGGTGAGCGGCGAGGTGGCGGAGGTGGCGGGCGGCGGGCGGTGGGCGGCTAGAGGGGGGGGGGGGAGGGGGGATCCTTGCGTTTTATGCCTCGTCATCGTCATCGGGCTCGTCGAATAGCGCCTGGAGAGCAGGGACTAGCGAGGCTGCGAGCGGGACGTCGGCGGGAGTGATGGTCATGTAGTCAAAGGCGAGGGCGGTGCGGGCGGCGTAGGCGCCGACGTCCATGACCGGGATCTTGGGGTAGCGCTGCGAAAAGTGGTTGAGGAGAACGGTTGTGGCGCCCATGTCGGCGCCGACGCCAGCGGCCTCGCCAGTTGTTGCATGCTTCTTGGCCACAGCCTCGTGGGCGAGCTCGTCTTCGAACGTTGCCTCGTGGATGAGAACGGTGGCGTCGGTGCCGACGGCGGCGAGGAGCGGCGACGGGCGGCAGTCACCGGAGAAAACCACGCTCCACCCGGCCTCGCTGCGGACGACCGCGCCGTACGACCGGAAGCAGTGGTCAACTGGCACAGCGGCGAGCGAGGCGATGCCGACAGCGGCCAGCGCGTCACCGAGCGGCGCGGCCTCGGGATCGTCCATCGCCGGCGTGGCCCCGGCGCGCGTCACTCGGCAGTGCCAAGAGTCGACAAAGGTGTACGCCATGCCCTCCAAGCACGCAATCTCGGCCAGCCACAGGCCGAGCGCCGCCGGGCCGATCACCACTGTCGGCGGGAGGCCAAGCGCGGTCCGCCGCGCAAGAACAGAGACGAGCCCTAGGTGGTGGTCGGCGTGGATGTGCGAGACAAAGACAAAGGCAAGGCTCGCAAGAACCTCGTCGGCGCCGTCTGGCCCGTACCGCCGCCGCAGCTGCCCGACCGAGCCCTCACCGCAGTCGAGAAGAAAGGCGTATGGAGGCCGCGTGTCGTCGGTCACGTGGATGAGCGTGCCCGAGACGTTGCGGTACTTGGACGGGAGCGCGGCGCCGGTGCCGAGGAAGAGGACCTGCAGCGGCTCCGGCGCCACCGTCTCGGCTGGCGTCTCTGGTGGCGGCACGCTGGCAAGCGTTATGGCAACATTGGCAGCAATGGCCTCCTCGTCGATAAGCGCCGGCTGGGTGCCAGCCACCCAGCCCAGCTTCTTGGGCGGTGAGAGGAGATAGGTGTCGAGCATGTCACCACGCTTGGCAGCAATCGGGAGGTCGTCCGGTAGTTGCGCGCCGCCGGCGACGCACCGCCACGGCTTGGGGTAGAGTGAGGCCTCGAGCGCGTGCAGCTTGAGCGCCGCCCGTGTCGCAGCCGTGAACATGTACCGGTTCGACGCGTAGCCGCCATCAAGCACCATGTGCTCGACGCCTTCGCCGAGACTCTGCGCCCAGCTCAGATACTCGGGCGACTCAAAGACCGCCGGCGGCGTGAGATGGACGATGAGCGCGAGCTTCTGGACGCCTGCAAGCGAGGCGCGAAGCGTTGTCGAGCGCGTTACCGCGTCCACATACCCCGCGTTCGGGCACGGAATGACGGCCACTGCCGGTCCGGGCGTTGGCGGGCCCATGACCTGGTGTGGCTGGACTACGCCGCCCGACTCGAGCACCACCGGCTGGCCGTGCTGCAGCTGCTTGTACAGCGGACCAGGCGGGACGCCGAGCTCGCGAGCAGCCTTGGCATTGAACTTACCGACCATTGGCGGGAGCTCGACGACGTAGGCCGCGGCGGCGTCGACAAGCGGAACCCTCGCCTCCGAGTCGAACGGCCGCAGGAACCGGGTCGACGGATCGGCCTCAACCGCGGCAATGACCTCGTCAGGTATGGTATACGGCTGGGGGCGGGCGTTGGTCTCGCCTGCGTCGGTAGTGAGGAGCTTGGACCGCTTTGCGTCGTCGTCATTGCCCGCCGAGGCCGCGCTCCCGTCAGCCGGGCCGACCGACTCACGCTCCATGCGCTTGCGCTTGCCGCGGCATGAGGCCGCGCGGATGTTGATCCGCCCCGTCGACGGGATCTCGACATCTGCCGGGGCGCCTGCCGGCACAAGCGCCACCGCCGTCATCCGCATGATGGGCCGGTTGGCAGACGATGGATCGCCGGCCGGAATGTCGACCACCAGCGGAGCATTGCAGCCGACTGTCGCTACCGCAATGTCCAGATCGTTGCGCTGGAGGAAGAACCGTGTGGCATCGAGCCAGTGCTCGGTATACAGCGGGCCGGTGAGGTTGATGGCAGTCAGCCCGGTGTCGGCCAGCGTGAGCAGCATGCCGGGCAAGCCGCCCGTCGCCGCCCACCGCAGCGAGGTCAGCGCCACATGGGTGAAGCGCTTGACACGGATCTTGTGGTTCATACACAGCCGCTGCGTCCCCTCGCCGCAGTTGAACAGAATGCCTGCAGAGCCAAACGAGAGCGCCACCGACGGCGGCGCATCGACCGCCCCGGTCCCCACCACCTTGACCTCCACCAGGCCATACGGCGCCACGGTCTCCAGCCTGCTCCCAGCCTGCTCCATCTCCATCGGCACGCTAGCACTCGCTCCAACGTCTGCCATCGCCATCTTGCTCGAGTAAGAGTGGAAGAGTGGTGTGCTGAGGTGTTGTCGCCAAAGGCTATGGCGTGGCGGGGTGGGGGGGGACTGGGGGAGGGGGGGGGGGAGCAGCGGGAGAGGATGGGCTGCTCCCGCCGAGCTCCAATGGCTTCGATGGGCATTCCGATGCAGATCTGTTGCAACATGGAGGTGATTCGATTGTGCGGGGCATGTGGGGAAAGGGGGGGGGGGGGGGGGGGGGTCAACCCATGATCGATGCAGCCGTTGTGCGTGCGTGTATGTGCGCGGGTGTGTATGTGTGTGTCTGTGATTCCGTCCGACTCACGCTCGGACTCCAAAGTGGGTGGCTGGCTGTGGCAGCGGAGAGGGAGACGGCAGGCTCCACCCGACCCGCTTGCCCGCTTGTCCACCCACTCGCACACCCCGCACACCCACCCACCTGTCGAGCACTGCTCAGGGAGAGCAGCAGGCGCAGAGCGGGCGCACGTAGGCAGAGAGGCAACATGGCGCTCGACAAGGCCGCCCTGCTCACCTCGGTCAATCGGTTTGGCAGTGACGACGAATCAGGCCGGCCGATGGGCACAGGCGGGACTGGAGCTGGAGCTGGGACTGGAGCTGGGGCTGGAGATGGAGCTGAGAGGAGAAGGGGAGGGAAAGGGGCGGCGGTGCCGTCTGTGCCACAACCGTATGCGCGGCACAAGTTTTACGCCGCGATCGGGCTGCTACAGCCGCCGCCACCGACGATTGCGCCCACGACGTCGCTGTGGCTAGTGGGCGAGGTCGAGTCGGTGGCCGACGTCTCCGAGTGCGGCGAGTCACATCCGCTGTTGGCGTCCGATCTGGTGGACGGCGAGTCAACCATTGTCGAGTCGGTGGTTGTTCTTGCCAACACCTGCATCGGCGCAGGCGTCCTCGCGGTGCCGTACGCGCTCTCGGTGACGGGCGTTGCTCTCGGCCTCGCGCTCCTCGTCGCGGTCGCGCTCCTCTCCATGTTTTCGTTCTATCTTCTGGCAGAGACCCGCCGGCTCTCGGGGCAACGGTCGTACGAAGACATTGCAGCGTTCTACTTTGGACAGGCTGGGCGGCGGGTGGTCCAGGCCTCGCTGGTCCTCCTCCTCATCGGAGCCACCATCATCTACGCCATCCTCATGTCGGACTCGCTCCACCCGGTAGTCTCGCAGTACGCACCAGCTTCGCCTTGGCTCTCGCGCGACTGGCTCTCGGTCTATGCGGTGGCGCTCATCTATCCGCTGACGCTCGCGCAAGACCTGCGGTTCCTACGGCACACCTCGATGGCTGCGCTCGGCTGCCTCATCTATCTCCTCATCGCACTCTGCGTCCGACTCTTTCAGTCGGTGAGTACGCTCCGTGTCGAGTCGGGCACTGACCCGTCGCCAGATCCGCACATCATCCGCCTCCGCTACGCCATTGTCTCGTCCAAGTTCTTCCTCGCCCTCCCCATCATTGCCGTTGCCTTCAATGGCCAGTTCAACGCCGTGCGTGTCGCAAACGAGTTGCGCAACCCGACAAAGTCGCGCGTCTTGGCTGTCTCTACCGGCGCCGTCTCGGTCTGCCTCGTCTTCTACATCCTCTTTGGCCTCGTCGGCATCTACTCGTTCGGCGTAGCGACCAAGGGAGACGTCCTGCTCAACTTTCGCAGCGACGACGTTCTGGTCAACGTTGGTCGCGTCGCGCTCTTTCTCGTTCTCGCCTTTTCCTACCCGCTCTTCTTCCTCCCGCTCCGCGAGACCATCGCGCTCATTCTCGCGCCCATTGTCGACATCCGCTCGCGCGGCCTCCCCGCTCGCATTGCCCTCACCACGGCCCTCAACGCCATCGCCCTCATCACCTCGATGCTTGTGCCGAATCTGCCCGGCATGCTCGACGTGGTCGGCGCCACCTGTGGCATGGGCATCGCCTTTATCCTCCCGGGCATGTTTGGCTACAAGGCCAACTACTCGCGGCCGGGCAAGCAGATTGCTTGCGTTGCCCTCGCCGTCATCGGCGTCGTCTGTGGCATCATCTCCACCGTCGTCACCATTGCCACCTGGGACGAAATCGGGTCTTCGTAGAAGCCTCCTCCCTTGTCTTCCCCGCCCGCCCGCTCGCAGCAAGCGCCCATAGTTGTCATGCGTCCGCAGACGGGATGGCGCCGAAAAAGGATTATCTGTGGTGCGGCTCCTTGCCAAGGGCTCGAGTGATGAAGAAGCAGCTGCAGCTGTACAGGAGCAGGCAAGGTTTGGAGCGGGTGGCGACGGGGTGAGCAGTGAGGTGACATCGAGCACGGCATCGAGCACGGCGGCGAGCAGTAGCTCTCCAAGCTAGTCCAGCAGCCCGGTTGCCGAGCACATCATGCAGATGACGGCTAAAGTGGCGGGTGTATGACGCGCGGGCCATCTGCGGCGGTGGGCGGGCGGACGTGTGCGACAGCAGTCTCATCGCAGGTGCCGTGGGTGGCATAGTTGGCGCGGGCGGCGGCGAGCGAGACCGAGTTGGCGCCGGCCTCGTGGACGTTGGCAGCCTGGAACCCATCGTCCTCCCAGAAGCAGACCGGACAGAGGGCGTAGGTACCCGGCGGTGGGTCAGGCAGAGTGCGGTAGCCGCAGCAGAGGCAAGGGTGCATGACGCAGGTGGCAGGGAGGGGTGTGTGTGTGTGTATCGATGGGTTCGGCTGTGTTCGGGGCGCGGGGGGCGAAACGGGCGTGTGCTCAGACGCCACGGCAGAGGATAATGCCATCGCCTTTGAGGTTGCCGATGAGAAGGCGGTCGACGGCCATGGCGTGGATGCCAGTGACCATGGGGACGACTTCGCCAGAGGGATCGTGGAGGGTGCGGACGACGGCGCCAGTGGGATCAATCTGGATGGCCATGCCGTGCTTGCGCGGCTTGGGCACCATCCAGCGGGGGAGGAGCGAGAAAACCGACTTGACTGGTGCGTAAGGGTGCACTAGCTCGAGGAACTTGGAGCGCGGGGCGGCAATGCTGATCCAAAACGTCTCTTTGAAGGCCGAGACGCCGTCAGGGTAGCCAGGCAGGTTGTCGATGAGAACCTCGACGTCGCCGCGGCGGTCCGAGGTGAGCCAGACCCGCGAGACGCGGGCGGCAAAGGTCTCCGCGACAACGACAAAAGTCTTGTCCTCAGAGAGAGCCACGCCGTTGGCAAAGTAGAGGCCGTCCGCGAGGACTTCGACCGAGCGATTGGCCGGATGATAGGCGAGGAGGCGGCCGGTGTGGCCGGCCTCGAGCGCGTCCTTGACCGAGGCCTCAAAGGTCTCAAACGAGTTGTCCGCGTTGCGCCACGGTGCGATGGTCGATGCGTCGGAAAAGTAGATGGTGCCAGAGTCGGCGTCGACGTCGACGTCGTCGGCGTAGAGGATTGGGTCGGTACCTTCAGGATCGACGCTCGCAGCGAGGAGTGTGACGATGCCGGTCTCCTCGCTCACGCTGAACAAGCCGCGGGCCGCATCGGCAACCACGACGCCGAGCTCGGGGTGGAGTGCAAGGCCGAGCGGGCGGCCGCCGAGGTAGGCGAGCGGGTGGGCGGTGAGAAGGGCGGTGCCGGCGTCGACGTCGCCATCGACGTCGATACGAGCAACAACGCCTGCACTGGTGGCAGTGTACCACGAGAGGCCGTCGGGCGAAGCAATGGCGGTCTCTGCACCTGCAAGGTCAAAGGGATGGGCGAGCGTGACGTCGACGCACAGATCAGTGAGCACGGTGTTGAGCGCGTACGGCCCGTCGAGAGCCGGAGGCGGTTTGGGGTAGAACGGCACGATGAGCAGTGGGCTGGGGACGGCGGGGAAGAGGAGGTGAGTGGCGAGGTGAGGGGGAGGGGGAGAAGGAGGCCACAGGCAGCGCAGGGAGGCGGTGTACCGGTGGGGGACGGTCCGTGCGGCGAGTGCGGCGAGGATAGCGATGACCACGACGAGCAGCGAGGTGGAGGGCGACATGGTAGGGGATAGAGGTGTATGTCGGGGGGTGCCTCAGGCAGGGGCCCCGAGCGGGGGCTGGCTGGGCCTGACAGGCGCATGGGGTGACGGGAGGGGGGGGGGGGGGGGGGGGGGGGAGGGCACTCGCCAAACAGTTTGAAATTTTCGGCGGACACAGGGAATGGCGCGAAGGCCGGCAGACAGAGTCAACCGCAGGCAAGGGACGCACACTCAACCCTCCCCCACAACCACACAGCCGCACAGCCACAGATAACCCGATACAGAGACTAGCCGCATACAGCAGTGACAGCATGTGGACGGTGAAGCACGAGTCGTTCCAGGAGGACCTTATGGCCGCACGGCGGATGCTGGAAAAGTACGAGCGCGGGCAGATGCGGTCGGCGGCGCAGCTGCAGACCTCGCTGGCGTCGGCCATCGACGACCACACCCACTCGGTGGCGCAGCTGGCTGAGGTGCGCAAGCAAGTGGACTCCAAGGCCCAGTCGTCAGTGGCCAAAAAGGCCTCGCTGCAGAACGAGCTCTCCGAGCGCAAGGCTGCCGCCGAGCAGGCCGCCGCCGCCGTCGCCGCCCTCGACGCCAAGGAGAACCAGTACCAGGCTTCGCTGGCGACTGAGAAGGAGAATGTGGCACAGATCTCCATGGCACTTGCAGAGGCTGAGGTCTCGCACTGCTCGCGGGCATCCGAGCTCGAGAAGGGCATTGCCTTCTACCGCTCCCGCCTCGGCATGCGCTTCGAGTCGCTCTCGGACCAGTCGCTGCGGTTCATTTTCACATCGATCGACCCGCTCAACTACGATCGCGAGTTCTTTTTTGCCCTCAAGGTCAACTCTGCTTCGCAGTATGTGCTTTGCGAGTGCGTGCCGCCTGTTCCGGGCACAGATGCGCTGCTCGCCAAGCTCAACAGCTCGAACAACCTCCGCGCTTTTTTTAAGGGCATGCGGATTCTGTTCCGCGGCTCCATCTGAGGCGCTCCTTGCTGCTCCGTAAACTGTACTCAATCCAGCTCGCTTGCGTGTTACGTCCGTGCCCGTGTAGACAACTTTGACTGAGCGAAAAGATACACTCGTCCGCGCTGCCTTGTCTGCAGCGTGCCGTCCTTGAGCAGCTGCTTCAGCGTTCGCCGCACGGTGCACGCCACGTGGGCTGCATCAGGCACATCAAAGTTGGCTGTGACGGTGGCGGCAATGTCGTCCACTGTTGATCCCTTCGGCTCTGCCAGCACACCGAGCGCGTAGACAACCATTTCGGTGTAACGTCGCCGCGCCAGCCGCTGCCCCGGCAAGGACTCGCCAATCTCAGCCATGAGCTGAAACGCAGAAGCGGGCAGCCACGACAGCGGGCCTTCCGCATCCAGCTCTCTAGTGGTGTCGTTGTCGAGTGCGATGGCGGTCGCAGTGGGCGCACTGAGCTGTGACGATGGCGGAGGCGGCGCGCCGCTACCGCTCTGCAACCACGGGTGGGCGCGAGCTTGCTCAGCGGTCAGTCGCGCTTTCGGGTCAACCTGCAGCAGCGCCGCAATGAGGTCCTTGGCATCCGACGAGATAGAGCCCCACATCGCGTCGTCGAGCGAGTACATGCCCTTGCAGATAGTTTCCTGGATCGGTGTTTCACCCTGCTCGGAGAACGGCATGTAGCCCGAGAGCATGACGTAGAGGATTACGCCAAGCGACCAGATGTCGACCGCAGAGGTGTATCCACAGGACCCTTGCTCGAACACCTCGGGTGCAGTGTACGCGAGCGTGCCACAAAGGGTGCCCATGAACGACGAGTCGGAGACAATGCGCGAGAGGCCAAAGTCAGATATCTTGATATCCAGCGAGTTGGACGTGGCTATGAGCACGTTTTCGGGCTTGAGGTCGCGATGGACAATGCCAGACTCGTGCAGGTGGGCAACGGCATCGACGAGCTGGGCAAAGACATGGCGGGCCTCGTCTTCGCTCAACAATCCGCGTGCCATGATGGTATCCAGCAGCTCACCGCCGGTAGCAAGCTCAAGGATGAGAATGAGGTTGGTCGGGGACGAGTACACGTCCTGGATCCCAATGACGTTGGGGTGTGTTACGGACTTGAGGATGTTGACCTCGTCCATGAGGGCGCCGTCGCGGACCGTGGACCGCAACGCCTTGCGCTTGTTCACGATCTTAGCCGCAAACAGCTTGGCGTCGGTCCTACGGCTCGCTAGGCACACTCGCGCAAATGCACCCACGCCCAGCTCCTTGTCGAGCCAGTACGCGTCCTCAAACGTCGGCTGGTCCAACGCCCCGACGGCGGACGAGCCGATGAGCGTAGCCTTGCGGATTTCTGCATCGACGGCGGACTCATGCGCCTCTGCGGTCTGAAAGACATAAGAGATGGCCCTGGAACCAGGCTGCCGCTCCAGCAGTGTCACCGTGTCGTTTGATGCCAGCATCTTCGACTGGCCACGCCCGACCTTGTGGCTGTTGATAAAAGTGCCGTTTGAAGATAAATCGTGGAGCTCAAAGACACGCCGGCCGGCGCTGTAGTAGGTGGTGATGCGACAGTGATGCGATGAAATCTGGCCCACGCCGGCATACACCACATCGTTTGTGGCAGCACGGCCAAATGTTATCTCGTCCTGCGCCAGCTTCACCATGGGCCACTCCGAGCAGGGGAGCAGCCGACCCCACACAGACCGTTCCCTAGCACCTCCTTCAAAGTCACACTCAAACTCGACATCCAGGCTCTGTGTCGGGGCATCTGCCGCCATGTTGGGGTAGATAGAGTCAGTGAGAGAAGTGTGTCTGTGTGAGAGGGTGTATGAGAAGGCAATGGTAGTCGTTGCCCTGGTTGTGTCGTCCGGCCAACTGTCCAACCGTCACGGCGTTGGGGGCACACATTTCCGCTTTCCGCCGGCCGCCGCCGTTGGCCGCGCAGCAAGTCGCCCAACGAATGAACCGCCATGGCAACCGCCACGGCAACCGCCACTGCCACTGCCACGGCAGCCGCACCACTGCCACCGCCACCACCGCCAGCACTATCACTGCAACTACGGCTGGAGAGAAAGCCACCGGTCTCCCTCCCTCCCTCCCCTCATCCCTACTCTCCCCATCACACACCGAGCTCCTTTCCGCAGCACCTCTGTGCAAGCCACACGGTAGGGTTTGATCATGGATGTACGCTCCGTCACCGTCCGGGCCATGGCCTCGCCCCCCCCCCCCCCTCCTCCTCCCCCTCACACACACACACACACACACACACACACACACACACACACACACACACACAGCCGGCAGTCACTAGGGTTACAGGCTCCATAACGGCGCTGCGCAACGAGAACGCTTACCTGCAGGTGCAGGGCCGAACACTGGCGGAGGACAATGCGGCGCTGAAGAGCAAGCTGACGGCGGCCAACGGGCGGGTGGCCCAGGCCGAGTCCGAAGTCGCACATCGCAACAGCCTACTGGTCGAGGCTCGCAACGCTCTGGAGACTGCTGCTCGGAGCAACGCCGAGCTGGAGGCCCAGGTCGATGATCTGCAGCAGCGGCTGAACGAGGCGCTGCGCGAGGCGCGCCGGGCCCAGGATGCAGGCAGCGCCAGCGCCCGTGCCTGCGATGAGGCTGAGGCAAGGCTGGCCGACGCCCATCGCGCCCGCGAGGCCCAAGACGGGCTTGTCGCCTCGCTCACCGCGCGGGTCGACGAACTGACGGCGTCAAACCTTTGGTACGAGGGTAAGATCGTGTCGCTGGAGGAGCGGCTCAAGGCGAGGGACGAGCGTCTGCTGCTGACCCGCGACTCGCTGCTCGAGGCGCGGATGGGCGAGGAGAAGGCACTCAAGGAGGTGGGGTGTCTCAAGGATGATCTCGCCGATGCCGAGCGCAACGTCGAGGCGCTGCTCGACTCGCTCAAGAACGCCGAGACCGAGGCTGCCGACGCCAACAACCGCGCATCACGGCTGCGTGAGGCGCTCGACCGCGCGCAGGACATCATGGTCGACGACACGTACGCGCACGTCCGCGCGCTGGAAGACCGTGACGCCGAGCTTGACGAGCTCATCCGGCGGGTGGAGAGCTCCGACGCCCGCGCCGCCGCCGCCGAAGCCCGCGCCGCCGCTACCGAGGCTGCCAACGCGCAACTGTCAGCGTCGCTGGCGGCGGCTACCGACGACGCGGCAGCGGCGGCAGCGGCGGTTGAAGCGCTGCGTGGGCAGCTTGCGGCGTCGGAGGCGGCGTCGGCGTCGGCGCGTGCGGAGGTCGGCGCCATCATGGGCGCTATCACCGCCGTCATGACCGAGGAGTCGTCTCCGGAGCGGGCCAAGGCATAGCATAGCATAGCATAGCATAACACAATACTTTACATGACAGAGCAGCCTGCGTCGTCACCGGCCGGCGCCGCGCCGCCGTGCGAGTGGCCATGGTCGCCGCCGCCGTGCGAGTGCGAGTGACCATGGTCTCCGCCGCCGTGCGAGTGCGAGTGGCCGTGGTCGTGCCCGCCACCGTGCGAGTGCGAGTGGCCGTGGTCGTGCCCGCCACCGTGCGAGTGCGAGTGGCCGTGGTTATGCCCTCCACCGCCGTGGCCGTGGCACGGCTGCCCGCCGTGCGAGTGGCCGTGCCCACCGCCGCGCATCGGCGGCATCTTGCCGGAGCGGAGCGCGTCGGCGGTCGCCTTGATATTGGCCACCATCGGGTGCTCGTCGCCGAGCTTGCCCTGCATGACGCCGTGCAGCTGGTCGAGCACCTCGGCAGCCTCGGCGGTCTTGCCGGTCGAGGCAAGGAACGAGACGAGGACCTGCGAGACTTGCATGATCTTGGGCGACTCGAGCGCAGCGTACATGTCGACCGCGAGGCGAAGCGTGGCAATGGTCTCGTCAATCTGGCCGACTTGCCGGAAGTACATGGCCTTGTTGGTGAGCGCCTCGGCAACCTCGTCCGACTCGTCGCCGTACGCCGACTTGCAGTACTCGATGGCTTCGTCCATCAGCTGGGCAACGGTTTCGTCGGCAGGGTTCGAGTTGAGGCGGACCATGGCGAGCGTGGCGTAGATCTGGTCGAGCTCGACCTGCTGCTCGAGCGCAAGCGGCTCTTGCTCGTCCTTGGCCATCGTCAGCAGCGTCTCGGCCTCGTCAAACGCACCCTTGGCGAGCATGACGCGGGCCATCGGCAGGTATGACACGTGCGGCACGGTGGCCATCTCGTCCTCCATGGCCCGGGCGCGGAGGAGAATCTCCTCAGACTCCTCCACCTTGCGCTGGGTGATTTTGAGGAACGCCTGGTCCACCAGGCACACCACATAACGATCGACCATCTGCGTGCCCTCAGCAGCCTCGATCGCAGTCATCGCCGTCGTCAGAAACTGGCAAGCCTTGTCTGGCTCGCTCTGCTCGTAATGGACAGAGAGCGACCGCGCCACCTTTTCCGCCGCAGCATGCTCGCCCCCGGCGACCAGGGCCGCAAGGTGCTCCTCGGCCTGCCGTCACCGATGCCACCGACATACCCCCCCCCACCACACACACACATATGCATGCACACACACACACACATATGCATGCACACACACACACACACACACACACACACACACACACACACACATATGCATGCACACACACACACATACACACACACACACACCATCCACTTGCATGAGTCCTCCCCCCCCCCTTCCCCTCCCCCCCCCTCCCCCCCCTCCCCCCCCCCTTCCGCTCCATACTCGCCCATCATTCCAACCTATGCACCCTCACCCTCACCCTCACCTTCACCCTCACCCTCACCCTCACCCTCACCCTCAACCTCACCCTCACCCTCACCATCCTCCTCCTGCACTTACCGTAGCGGCCTCGGCGTCAGTAGTGTAGGTGTGAAGTTCAGATGGTGCGTCGGCAGACATGGTGGGGGTCTGGCGTGAGGTGGTGGGGATAGGTGGGAGTGGGTGGTGGGTGGGGCGCGACGGGGTGGAGGGGGGAGGGAGGGGGAGGGAGGTGAGCTGGAATACTGCTGCTGATCATAGTGACCAGGGGAGGGGGGGGGGGGGGGGGAGGAGAGGGGGAGGGGGGAGAGAGTCTGGTTTCGATGGATCATTGGTATTACGCTGATGGGCCGAGAGGGGCAGACGGGGCGGGCTCGGCAACTCCAGGGGCCCCACCAGCGGCGGCACCACCACCAGCGACACCACCAACAGCGGCACCACCACCAGCAGCGGGACTAGCATGCTGCGACTGGGCCTGGGCGGCATTCTGCATGGCCCACTGGCGGGCCTTCTCGAGAAACTTGAGGTTGGCCTGCGAGCGATCGACGGTGTCGGCCCAGATGTAGTCGTAGTACTCCTCCCAGCCGAGCTCGTTGCCTTCGGCATCGCGGACCATGCGACGCTTCTTGACCCGCTGCGGCATCTGGTCGGTGACGGCTTTGGCCTCCGCCTGCGAGCCGTGCTCGAGCTCGAGGGCGTGCCAGGCCTTGAGTGCAGTGAGGCGCTGGTCGGGCAGGTTGTGGACGCGGGTGTGGTCGACAGCCCGGGTGTAAACGGCCCGGGCGTCGCTGATGGCGCCGAGCGAAGCAAGGTACTTGGCATAGGTGACAAAGACCTTGACATGCTTGGTGCGGGTGAGCAGGCGCTCGAAGAGTTGGATGGCCTTGGCCTGCTCGTCCTCGGCAATCTCAAAGTCGATGTACGCTTTCCAGAGAACTTCAGGCATGTCGAGGAGCGGCTGCTCGATGGCGAGCTCGTAGAGGCCGCGGGCGCGCTCGGGCTCGAGAAGCGAGGCCTCAAACGACGCGTACTTGATCCAGGCCTCGACGGCCTCGGGCTCAAACTCGAGGTACTTGTTGTACAGCGAGCGCGCAGCGTCAAAGTTGAGCAGGTCGTACTCGAGCTGGATGTAGTAGTCAAAAAGCGCGTGCGAGGGCGCAGCGCCGATTCCGTGACCGAGGATCTTGCGCGCCCGCCCCAGATCCTTGGCACGAACGTAAACGCCAGCAGCGAGCATGTACAGCCGCTCCACAAGGGCAAGACCGGGCTTAAAGAGGCCGAGTGCGAGCTCGTAGATGACGCCGGCCCGCGCAACATCGCCGGCGGTGAGCTCCTCGTACAGCGCGTAGTTAATGAACAGATAGCCGTACGACTCGAGCACGTTGGTCTGCGCGAGAGTGAGGCCCTGCGGCCGAGTCTTCAGCAGCTCGTCCGGCTTGGCGCCAATAGCGCGCTCGTAGACTTCGCGGACGGCGGCCGGATCGCCGTGGCCCTCCTCCACCCGCACATACTCGAACCACAGGTCGTAGTCGGTCGGGTCCTCGGCGAGCGCAGCGTCGTACGCCTCGCGCTGCTGAGTAATGAGGACCGACTCGATGCCGCCCTTGGTCCCGTGCCGCTTCTCAAAGGCGAGAAAGGCGTCCTCAAGGCCGCCAGCAGCCGACGCCGGCACGGTGTCGAGCGCGTACTTGTAGATGACCCGCGCCCGCTCGTACTCTTTGACGCGCTCCTCAAACTTGGCAAAGGCCACAAAGAGCTTGCGCGCCACGGCGGCGTCGCCGAGCGCACCCGACGCCTCGAGTGCCGCCATCGCCCGCTCGTACACGTCGCGAGCACGCGCCACCTCACCAAGCGTCTCTTCAAAGCGCGCAGCCTTGAGCCAGGCCGTCGCGGCGCCGGCATGATCGCGGGCAGCCTCGAGCCGGATGACGTAGTCGGCGTAGATGGCGCGGACCCGATCCCACTCCTCGTACCGCTTCTCAAAGTTGATGTACGTGTGCCAGGCCTGCTTGCCCGGGTTCCACTCCATCCACTTGGCATACACAGTCCTTGCGCCAGCAATGTTGCCAACCATCTCCTCCATGGCCGCAAACTTGAACCAGAACGCGTCGTGGCGCGGAAGATGGGTGACGGCGCGAACCAACACGTTGCGGGCCGAGTTGATGTGGCCGGCCCGCATCTCCATGTCTGCGTACTTTGTCCACAGCGTGGCGTCTCGATAGTTGGCCGCCACGCCACGCTCAAAGATCGACCGCGCCCGCTCAAACTCGCCCACAGACTCCTCCCAGGCCGCATAGCGGATGTAGTTTGAAGCCCGCTTGCGACGGAACCCGATGTACTCTTCAAACTTGGACCGCTTCTCGGCCATGTACATCTCCACCTCGGCCTTGTCAGCAAACACATCCGTCGGCTTGCGGACCTCAGCCTGGCCCTGCTGGTCCAGCGCCTCTTGCAGGATCTGCTCCACCGTGATCTGCACCTGCGCTGCTGCCCGGTTACGGACCTCGGATGAGCCAGCCTTGCGCAGATGCGTCGGCTGCAGCTGCGCCAGCACGTCGAGCGCCGAGCCCGCCGCCTTGTTCTGGGTGGGGGTGGACATTGTGGTGCGGAGGGAAGAGGGAGGGAGAGGGAGGGGGTAGGTGGGATAGGTTGGGATGAGAGGGGGGGCGGGGGGGGGAGGGGGAGGGGGGGTGCGGTAGCTGGGTGGCTTGGCGAACTGGGTGAGGAGGAGGAGGAGGAGGAGTGGGTGGGGTGATGGTTGGGTGGCCCGCCCGCCCGCCGCTCGCCACCAGCCGATGATGTGAGTTGGTGGGTTTGGGTGGCAACCGGCAACCGGCGGGTGGGCGGCGGGCGGCGG